AAGAATGTTGTTGCCCGCTTCATCAAGCAAAATCTCATTTGCTGGTAAGGTATCCCAGAAAGGATCATCACTGACAATGGTAAAAATCTTAAAAACACGATGATCACTGCCTTGTGCGAGCAATTCAAGATTCATCATCACAATTCTTCCCCCTATCGGCCAAGATGAATGGTGCTATCGAGGCTACAAATAAAAACATTAAAAAGATCATACAGGAAATGACAGTCACATACAAAGACTGGCATGAGATGTTACCATTCGCTCTCCACGGGCATCGTACCACGGTCGCACATCAACCGGGGCAACACCCTATTCTTTGGTTTACGGCATGGAGGCTGTTTTACCTATTGAGGTTCAGATCCCCTCTTTGAGGATTATGAAGGATGCAAGTTTGAATGAAGACGATTGGATCCAGACTCGACTTGATCAACTGAACTTAATTGATGAAAAGAGGCTTACTGCTGTATGCCATGGTCAAATGTATCAAAAACGGATGATCAAGGCTTTCAACAAGAATGTCAGGCGCCAAGTATATCAAGTTGGGGATATGGTGATCAAACGTATCATCTTGCCACAAAGTGATCCCAGGGGCAAATGGACTCCTACCTATGAAGAACCATTTGTAATCAAAAGCATGTTCTCTGGTGGGGCAATGATCTTGACCACCATGGACAGCGACGACCTGCCACACCCTGCGAAAGCGGACATAGTCAAAAGATACTACGCATAAGAGACCCGCTAGGTTGACATACCTAGGAAAAACAAGGGCATCCCAGCGAACCAAAAGGTTCGAGCAAAAACTAGGGATAAAAATATAAAAAATCTGTACACCCGGCAAGGTGAAAACCCGAAAGGGCGACTTGGGAAAAAAAGGGTTTCCCGGTGGACTGAAAACCCGAAAGGGCGGTCCAGGCAAAAGTTAGGGAATCAAAGCGTATGACTATGTCCCGTCGGATCACTTTACGGACAACTTTCAACTTCCACTGACAAACTCGGAGTTTCTGATCAATTCAATCATCTTCGAACGAAGCAACAAATAGACAAGATATTCGGAGATATGAAGGCTATAGCAGAATGGGAACCCCATTGGATTATTACAAATAGCTATCTTTCTTTGTATAAATTTTTCTTGTTCTTTTTATGGCACCATTCTGTTACTAGAATGATTTCCTCCTTTGTACGAAATACTTATTCAAAGTCAATACAAATACATCTCTTTGAAAGTGCAAAAACTATTTGTCTTTTTCTTTACACTTGTGTTTTATTTGCAAAAACGTCCAATGATTCATTAATGAACATATGCATTTGAACATAATTACTGGTTACAAATAAACAAAATGCGAAAGATAATTACTGATAGGTTGAAAGGATAGGAAAATGTCTCTAGGCTATTCCATAAGCAATCCCCCACAGTACGTCATTTAGATCCCCAGCAGAACTAAAATTTCAAATTATTAATTCCCAGTAGAAATCATCAAATTTCTCAGGATTCCCCGAGCAAATCTTACAAGCAGTACATGGCATTGCCCTCACAACAGAATTTACTTCTCTCAACAAGAGTTTGTCAGTACTTCAACTTCAAGACATGAAATTTCAACTTATCCTCAACAACATTCAGGGATTTATTTCCCTCAATCAGACAACAATACAACAAATCAGCTTACATGTGCATACATTACATCCACATATCATAAACATTGATAAAGCAAATACATTGCATCATACATTTCATGCAACATAACTTTGTGTTTCATCTAACATTTTACCCTTTTCAGGATAAGATTAAACAACTACCATTAACAATATGCAATCAGATAAAATACGGATATGCTCCAGACACGGATGCCATTCTGATACTCATTCAGATTCAGACCTCATATACAATACGGATACGCTCCAGACACGGATGCCATTCTGTTACTCATTCAGATTACAACTTCAGATAAATTACAGAAATGCTCCAAACACGGATGCCATTCTGATACTCATTCAAATCCAGACTTCATATACAGTACGGATATGCTCCAAACACGGATGCCATTCTGGTACTTAGTCAAAATCAACTTTCAGATACAGTTCAGACACGCTCCAGACACGGACTCCGTTCTGATACTCATTCTTTCAGCTTACAACTTATAATTCAACAGACATTTTTGGATGGCATCTGCAAGCCCAGCTCCATCAAGAACCTATCACTTCTCCAAATGGCATCTTTAAGCCTATTCCCTCAACTACACATCGTTGAGTGCAAATTTATGGGCACTCTAGTGTCCAATCATCTTTCACCTTCGAGTCAAGAATGGCAAAGCTCGCCAATGTAACTCCTCAGGTTTAAGAAGATTGAACAATGGCAGCTGTTGTACCCCAAAATTCTCCCTCTCATTCATCAAGACTTTTCTCACAAGATCTCTTTGACTCAAGACTGGATTAGGGTTTGGTCAGCTCAAGACATCTCATCTAACACATTTAACCCAAAATTAGGGTTTAAGTTTGCACAAGGATTCTTGGACTATCAATGCTTCATATGACTTTCAAACATCATTATGGACCCCTAAGATTACTCATGACAAGTTTTAAGCTTTGAACCACATTTTTTATCAGTCAATTGGACAGTTGACCTAAAAATCAGTCGTATTGGGGAAAAAGTCAACCATGGCCAATTAACAGTCAAACTTAATAATTTTTTATCCACATCAATATTCTAGACTCATATATATCATTTGATCAAGTTTGGATCACAATTCCTCAAGAAATTTGATCAAATCATCAAAAGGGCAAAATGGTCAAAATTAGGGTTTTGACTGAGGAAGGGCAATTTCTGATTTTTAACCTAGCAAATGACCAATTGTTTGAAGCATGATTTCAAGGGTTCATTTGTTTCATCTTGACCTAATTACATGATTCAAAACATTGCAATTTCATTGGGTTGACAGATGAAATTTGCAGTCAACTGATCAAAGTCAACTGTATACTAAAAAGTCAAACTTTGACTTTTTGGTCAAAATCAAGTGCCAAGGATCATAATTCATCAAAACATGTCAAAATGTGAAACTTGTTCATCAAGGAATCAAAGATTGAAGTTTTGATTTTAAAATTTGAATTTTTCTTAACTTAGAAATTTTTCTAAGTATAGAAAATTTCTTATTTTTTCTCAACTTTAGGCCAATTTTCGACCATGATACAAGGTGATTCAAATAAAGTTCTGTGATACGGTGGGAGAACTGACGTGGTGTTTTGCGTTTCGATCGCATTTGTGCGGATAGCAAGAGTCGCCACCGACTTTTCTTTTATCCAAAAGGAAAGGCAAAAAAGCACAGGAAAGACCTTTTGAGATTATTTCTCGGGTTCGGGGGGTAGATTAGGAAAAGGGAAGGTATTAGCACCCTCTTCATCCATGGTTTTCCATGGGCTATTACTTACTCGTTTAGATCACTTGCTTTTGTTTGACAGTGTGCTTGTGGTGTGGGCTTTGAAAATGTTTTGAAAATTTTCTTTATAATGGTTCTCGTTTCTATAAGAACGCGTACAAAGTTTTGTTTCGAAAGATAGTTTAAAGAAGTGTTTGTGGGTTGTGTTTGTGGAAAGTGGTTTTTGAAAATATGTTTTGCAATGGTTCTCGTCTCTATAAGAACGTATACAAAAATGTTTCGTCTTTTTGAAAATGCTTTGAAATGAGAGTGTTGGTGTATAAAATGTTTTTTTGTTGTTGTGAGCAAACGAGTAACTAGGAGCGAATCTATCTACTCGAAAGGTTTTCAATTGTTCTTTTCTTCCTCCTTTAGATGTTTCTATCTTACCATTAATTTGGTAAGAAGCCCCATCGTTGGATGTAAAGGGACAGGCGCGGGTCAATTTTACAGTCATCGAAAGCAACTTATGAGACGCTTTAGCAATTTTCGTAAGGGACTAGATCGTTTTATCGAAGGCAACATCGAGGGTCATCGAGGGACTACGATCTTTTTTATCGAAGGGTCATTACTAAAGCATCCCATATTCGAGGGACATGATTGTGTTTTCCGAGGCAACGAGCGAGGTTACCCTAGAGGTGCGCGTGTGAAAAGTGTGCTTGATTCAAGTTATTTTGTTGAAATTAGGTTATCTAGCGATTGATTTTAAATCTTGCCATGCACGCCTAATTACTATACAGTGTAAAGAAAACAGTAAATTGCGGGAATTGAAATTCTACGCTATTACAAAGTTTTTGGGAATGGGGGTACAAATTTACAAATGGGGATGGATCGAATCGACAATGCGATTAAAAGTCTAAATAAACAAGCAATACAACCCAATTGAACTAAAAATAAACAATTAATTGAACTAAAATAATTTGTAAAATAAAAACTAATTAGCAAATTAATTAATACTATAATATTTTTGTATTTTATTTATTTAAGTAAAATCTAAATAAGGATAAAACTAAATTCTACTATTTTTTTGGTATTTTATTATATGTAAATTAATTAATAATTTTATCTTTAAAAAAAAGTTTATTAAAGAAAGAAAAAGAAGTTGATAAAAATTATTCACAAAGTCTAAACCAAACTAATTAGGAAAATTGTATATTTTAAGTTTAATTGAATTTTTAGAATTAAAACTAAATATAAATCAAAAAATTAGAGAAAAATAAGATTGAAAGAATTAAGCAAAACAGAATGCCCACAGGAGGAGTCGAACTCAGGCCACTTGGGTTATCAAAGATGCACCTTGCCAACTGAACTACGCTACTTGTTTGTAATTCATAAGGCTTAATTGATAAATAATAGGAAAACGGTAGCATGATTGGGCCAAAAGGCCCAAAAGGCCTGACCCGGTTGGGAAATAATTAGGGGGAAAAATGCAACCCTAAGTAGAACAAGAGGGCGCTGCCACCGGTTTAGTACTGGAATAGGAAAAAGAAAAGGGTCAGATTAAGAACAAGATGTTGTCTCTTCCAGCTTATCGTGAAAACCAAAAAACTAGCTTCCAAAAACACAAATCCCTAACTCCAAACATTCGTCCCTCTACTTCTCTGACTCCGTCAATTCTTGACAACGAGATCCATCGAGATTCAACGGCTTCGTGAAGAGCGGAAACGGCGCTGCTTTAGAAACAGAAGTTGGTTTCTGAAATCCTGAGTGATTTCACGAACAAGACGCTGAAAGGGAAGCTTGCGGATCAAAAGCTAGGTACTCTTCTGGTACTTGCGGATCTCACGGAGAGCGACAGTTCCTGGCCTGAAACGATGAGGCTTCTTCACTCCTCCGGTGGCGGGAGCAGACTTGCGAGCGGCTTTGGTTGCCAGTTGCTTCCTTGGGGCTTTCCCGTCGGTGGACTTGCGAGCAGTTTGCTTGGTACGTGCCATTGCAGTGACAGAAAACGGTTACTAAAAGATTATAACTTGATATTTGTTTTCTGTTATGCTTTGCGAGTGATTTGTTCAATGTGAGCCAAAGCGAGATGGGAAGATAGAAAGAAGAGGTACGGTTCGTCTTAATACTTACTGTACATTTGTTACCTTTTCATTTTTAGTTATATAAAAAAAACTCTCTTTTATTTTGATTAAACAGTGGCGGAAAAAATAAAGCATGAAGCAGTTTTAAGGCAAAGCAAAATGTCAACGAGCTTATGAGGTCGGGAAACAAAACTTACAGTATCGGAGCTTTTGCAAACGATCTCTGTATACTGCTACCTCCGTCCGCTTTCTTGTTCCGCACTCGTTTTTGCTGTTGGGGTTTGTTTGACAGGGAAGTCTATTTTATAAACTTTCTCTCTTTAATTTCTGAAGGGGTTGGAAGGGGAAATGATGAAAATTTTCTAGGGTTTATGTCTGTTTTGTGATGTTGTTGTGTTCTTTTTGTGATATTTTCTTTCTCTCTGTTTTTTGTATGTATTCTTGTTGTTGTTTTTGAATAATGAAATTGTTCTCTCTTTTTTTTTTCTCTCCCCCAATTGCCTCTGTTATGTGCCTCTTGTATTCATCTGAAATACAAACTTTTGGGGGGAAAAGGCAATTGGTTTTGAACATATTAAGATGCTATTTTTGTAGCTTTTTGCTACAGTTTTGACTTGATCCGTATATGTGCATTTTTTGGCTGTATATTGCTGTTGCTTTTTGACAGATTTTGGACTGTTTTGGACAACCTATGGAGGGCTGCAATGCAGTCTATTTTGACAGCACTTTGGCCTCTTGTATTTGTCCTCTTTTTACTGTGATGTAAACTATTTTTTACAGCATTTGAGACTATGATGAATTATTAATTTGACTTGTATTTCTTCTCATTTTGTCCTCTGTGAACCAATTAAAGATTATGATTTGCAATGGACCAAACACGAACGAAATGTTGCCCCCTTATTTCTGACTCTTCTTACCAATCCCTAATGATGAAAATGTAGAGAATTCTTTGAAATTTTCTATTCTTGTTCCAACATGAATTTTTGCTAACTAATTCTCTCCTTTTGTTTACATGTACGAGCAAATTGGACGATAGGGAGAATTGACGAAGAGTGACTTGAAATGCTTGAAGAAAGCTTGATGATGAAGAAATTCTTTTGTAGTTTAGTACATTGTTAGGAATTTTGTAACATTGTGAATTTGTGATTTGAATTTTGAGGTTTAGAAACTTGTAAAGTGTATACCAATTCACTTGTAATTAAACAATGAAACTTTGGTGCAATCTTGCGTACTTGATTCATCTTGAATTTGTTTCTACAAAACTTGAATATTCCTTTTTTATACAATTTAAATTATGAGCATAATTTGGATTCTCCTTTGTGGTCTATAAACTTAAAATGCCTCTTGAGAAAAGAATGATACTTGAATCCTTGAAACACGCCTTGAATAATGCTTTGTGTTTTCATGTAGGATTGTATCATGAATTCTTGAAAACTTGAAATGGATGTCTTGAATTTGGAATTGGAATTGATGTTGCACTTGTAATTGATTTGAAAGAAAGATTGAAAATTTGAATGAAGATGAAGATGAATGAAGTTGATGAATTCCTTGAATTCAAAATAGTTCACATGAATTAATTTTTTTTAGTATATCAAAATTGCGCCATAAGCATATTGATCCTTTTGAATATCCTGAAACAAATTCACGTGAATGAATTATGCCTCACATGCTGGAATTGGGCTGAGGTCAAAATAATTATTTGAATGGATCCTCGAATCTTCTTCATTAAAATCCATATCTTTAATTCATAGTAACTTGAAATAAGAGCTAAAAGTATGGATCTTGCCTTTAAGAATTTTGATCAAAATCCCATTTCGATCCAATAATCATTGTCGTTCAAACGCAAACAATTTGAAGTACGAATAACAAACTACCCATGGACTTTCAAACTCAAACTCTTGTTTCAATTAATTATCTCAACATAATGATCAACATCTAGAAATAACATTCTACAGTCAAGAAATTCCTATATAATTTCTATAAATTTCATGGTCTTCCAAGCGCATTTTGACTTCGATCGTTGAAGTAATCTCATATACAATGCTATTTATGATCCTTTGAAAAAAGAATCACTTCATAATATTGAAAGTTGAAGAAGTTATGAGCCTCGAAAATTGGACAAGAGTTTCTTGTGATTAGGTCAAATTTGCAAAATGACCTCTAAAGTATTCAAATTTTCTGATGATCTTTCGCACATAATCAACTCTTGACTTGTGAAGAGAAATTGCAGATGACGTCAAGGAGAGTCATACGCAAAAGAAACGCCCAAAAATATCGAATAACGAAGAAGTTACAGTCGCTTGAACTTGATCTCGCAAAAGGTCATCTTTTGGGTTAATGGAGTCATTTTCAGTCGTCTGAACCACTGACCGAGCAAACTTGTGATGCGAGATTTGAAACTCGGCATGAAAATCCTTGAGGAGACATGAAGATATACGAACACTATCTGAAACCTTAAAGAATTGATTTTCTTTGAGAAACGTCAAACCCTAATTGTTGACTTACTGCCTAGGAAGAGAATATGTCCGATCAAATTCTGAACCAAATTAGGTGTTTCTAGGAAACCCTAGGGTAGCATCTTGAGTGAAAAATGGGAGGGAAAATTTTGGGATACAACAGCTGCCCCTGTTCAATCTTCTTAAACTTGAAAAGCGAGATTGATGTGTTTGTCGTTCACGGCTTGAAAGTAGAAGATGATTGAACACTAGAGTACCCAGAAATTTGCGCTTGATGATGTACTGGTTGACTGCATAAGGAAATGGGCTTAAAGATGCGATTTGGAGAAGCAAAGGAAAATGGTCGGAGATGGGCTTATAGATGCCATCCAAAGACGATTATTTACGGAAAGTTTGAACTCGATCTCAACAGAGAATGAATCAGAATAAACCGTTGAGAGATTTATCTGAACCAGTCAAAATATGGAGACGAATCAGAATAAACCATTGAGAGATTTATCCGAACTAGTAAAAATCAGAGAACAAATCAGAATAAACCGTTGAGAGATTTATCTGAACCAGTGAAAATCTGAAGACGAATCAGAATAAACCGTTGAGAGATTTATCTGAACCAGTGAAAATCTGGAGACGAATCAGAATAAACTGTTGAGAGATTTATCTGAACCAGTGAAAATCTGGAGACGAATTAGAATAAACTGTTGAGAGATTTATCTGAACCGGTGAAAATATGGAGACGAATCAGAATAAACCGTTGAGAGATTTATCTGAACTAGTAAAAATCTGGAGACAAATCAGAATAAACCGTTGAGAGATTTATCTGAACCAATGGAAATCTGGAGATGAATCAGAATAAACCGTTGAGAGATTTATCCGAACTAGTGAAATAATCTGGAGATGAATCAGAATAAACCATTGAGATATTTATCTGAACCAGTGGAAATCTGGAGATGAATTAGAATAAACCGTTGAGAGATTCATCTGAACCAGTGGAAATCTGGAGACGAATCAGAATAAACCGTTGAGAGATTTATCTGAACCAGTGAAATAATCTGGAGATGAATCAGAATAAATCGTTAAGAGATTTATCTGAACCAGTGGAAATCTGGAGATGAATCAGAATAAACCGTTGAGAGATTTATCTGAACCAGTGGGAATCTGGAGACGAATCAGAATAAACCGTTGAGAGATTTATCTGAACTAGTGAAGTAATCTGGAGATGAATCAGAATAAACCGTTGAGAGATTTATCTTGACCAGTGGGAATTTGGAGACAAATCAGAATAAACCGTTGAGAGATTCATCTGAACCAGTGGAAATCTGGAGATGAATCAAAATAAATCGTTGAGAGATTTATCTGAACCAGTGAAATAATTTGGAGATGAATCAGAATAAACCGTTGAGAGATTTATCTGAACCAGTAAAAATCTGGAGACGAATCAAAATAAACCGTTGAGAGATTTATCTGAACCAATGGAAATCTGGAGATGAATCAGAATAAATCGTTGAGAGATTTATCTGAACCAGTGAAATAATCTGAAGATGAATCAGAATAAACCATTGAGAGATTTATTTGAACCAGTAAGAGTCTGGAAGAAATATTTTGTTATGTAGATGGTCGACCAGTCTTTTCTTGTTGAAAATCTTGGTCTATTGGGAATTTGTTGATGATGATTTCCTGTCAAATGACTCTTTCCTGCAAAAGGTGAAGAGTTAATTGTATGCAATTCTATGATGTATGCGATGCATGGGGTGATATTTTTCTCTCAAAATGAATGAGATTGCACGGTATGTACTTGAGTTGTCAATGTTATGACGTATGGATGCAAATGTATGGAATTAAAGATTGTTTGTGTCGTAGGGTTGCTGGAAGCGGGAAAATAAATCCCTTTTGAAGCACTGATGGGTGAGTTTCCAAATATAAACTCTGTTGTAGAAAGGAAAAGTCGGACATCGCTTGTAGACTTCGTGAAATTCTGCTGGGGAAATCTGAGAAGCTGGGCAACTTACTGGGGAATCTCTGGAGCGGTAGTTGGAAGTTTTTGCTCTGTGAGGAATATGAGACCACTTGATACCAACATGCTGCATACTGGGGATATGTTAGTGATTCTGTAGTAGGATGTATTCGCTTCCGCTCCTGCTGGAGAAGGTGCCTGCGGGGGTCGTATGGAATGGCTTATAGATATTATCCTATTTCTTAAAGTCATTAGTAATTGTCTTTCTGTTTTTTTTGTTTATTTGTAACAGTAATCACGTTCAAATGCATATGCTCAAAAATAAATCATTGGACATTTTTGTAAACAAGACTTAGAAACAAAGAAAAAAACAGATGGTTTTGCACTTTCAAAAGGGATATCTTTGTATTGACTTAAATAAGTATTTTTTGTACAATGAGACGAGCATTCTAGCGAGAGAAGGTCGTTGTAAAAAATGAAAATTGATACAAAGAAAAGATAGC